AAAAAATATTAATAAAAACGAGAGCAGATAATATATTTAAATTCTAATTGATTTGGTGGAGAATCTGATAGTTTTATTGCCTGTAGGTTGTTGGGATTTTAATGATTATTGTTTTCATTTGCTGATGTTTTTTTTTTGTTGAAATACTCTTAGATCTGTCTATTTGTGTGTCCAAATTTTCAGTATTTGATTTGAACAGTGGTTTGCTAAGTGAGAATTATTGGTTGTAGAGGAGAGATTTTAAAATTTAAATAAGTGGTGGGATGACAGTATACCTTATCATGTTACAATTGATGAGAAATGTTTCACAGATGGTATTTGCTATTTGGCTGTGAGATAACAAAGAAATCACATGTCAGATTGTTTAGCTAAAATTTATTTTAAACGAAAGTAGGGGTTTCAAATAACAGACATTTTTTTTGTTATTTTTATTAAACTGATAAGAAAAACAAAAAAACCAATGTAAAAAAATTACATGATACACAACACTTTTCAGTATCTGTTTAATAAGTAAGAGTAACATTTGAAAAGAGTTAAATATATGAAAAGGTTAGTGTATACAATATTTTTATCATAATTGACTCATTGATTTTTTTCTTCAGGTTTTTCAAAAACCTTGTTTTTGTTTTTTAGAAGTCTTAATCTCAGTGTAGTTTCTACTGCCATAAGATAACTGATGGTTTTAAGTTCATAGTAGAAGCTTATATAGTCTTCTCTGTGATCTCAAAGAGTAAATCCTCTGGTTTTGTTACTTCCTTATGTGTTCATTTGGTTGGTTTTTTTAAATTTTGGATTTGAAAAATAAGAGAAAAATATACATTGCATTACTCCTATTTAAAAATTTTTAGGCTGAATTTATTGTATGTTATATTTACATTTGCATGCAATGAAGTAAGAAAGCTTTAAAACCTTATTTTCTTCATTTATTCAAACTTGTTTTAGAAAATATAAGTTGTAGTAATATTTTTTTTTAAAAACTGGCCGTTATAATGTTTTTATTTGATTAATGGGTTTAATTTACATGAAAATTTTTTTTTTAGGAAGGTGTTTACATTTTGAACTCACAATTTACAGAAAAAAAAAATGCTATCCTCTACTATTTTCTCGTGGAATATATTTTGAAACATGTACTTCAATTTTCTGTGCATTCTATCATTGACTTTTTCTGGTGGGTGAAAAAGTGTTTTTTCATTTAATTTTGTAAAAAGTTAATGTATAAAAAAAACACTTCACCGCCACAAGAAGCAACCATTACAACCAACCTTTTTTTTTTAATTATTATTTTTGATGAGTTATAATTGTTAAGAGAATACATTATTCAACTAATACTTATGACATTTCATATTTGGCTATAAGACTAATATCCCTCACCATCTGGGTTGTGTATATAACTGATGACAAGAAAACATAGCTTGATGTGCTGTCCAAGTGTTACATTACATTATTTGCCTACTCGTGCGTTTTTTAGTCATAGTCGACTATTAAAAATATGTCTTTAAAAAGTAAATTTTATTTTTACGTTTTATTTTTAAAAAAATATATAGTTATGTGTGTAAATTTATCAGTGTTGTTTTGATTAGATTTAATTTTCATGGAGGTTATTAATAATTATGTACTTGATGTTAAGTCTAGAGAAAAACAGAAAAAGTATATCAATGTTAACTAATCAGGGGTATGCAAAGCTGGGTGTCAGACTCTAGTGGATGGTGTCATGGCTGACTAGGTGATTATACTGAATGATTTTCTCTTAGAAATTAACAATTTTTTTTATCTAGATGATTAACTTGAATCAATAAGGCAACTGGTCAAAGCATTCTGTTATGGCAAATGTTGCAAGTTTGCTATTTACACCCTGGCGTCACACAATGTTGTCAGCAACCCCCCACCCATTGTGATGCTACTGGGTTAAATTTTCCTGTAATTAGCCATTTGTATAGGATGGAGTTTCGTGTTTAGGTTTTTAAAATAGCTACCTTATTAGATTTAAAAAAAAAACAACTACACAAGTTTAATTTCACATTTAATAGCATCTATATTTTTTTTAACAGTATGAATTTAAAATATTCATTGGAAGATTTGACACAAAAAAGACAGACTTTGGTTTGTACAAATGTCAATTTACATCAAAAGTAAACATAGGTTGATTGGCTAAGACAATAAGAAAAATGCTGAGAAACAATTAACAACTTAAGAATCAGAAACTGATATGTAGGCTAGCGTCAGGCATGTTGACAAAGGCACAAGTCAAAAAAAAAAAACATGACCACAAACACCTAGAAAAAATTTATAAAAATACACTTTGATTATTTGTGTGAATTTTTTGCAAAAGCTTAAAACATTTACCAAAAATAAATTGTTTTCTCAATTAGCTGAAACTTTAAAAAATTTAAAATCTAAAACAGAGCCACCAACAAATCTACAGCTGGACCTCTTATTTAAATATAATTAAATATAATTTTATCTGCCAAAGGAGTTGAACTAGATGTAAACAGAAATGTTAATTCCCAACTGTGATGGAATATTAAAACAGGTTTTTGTTCTGCACAGTCAACGCTCAGTTTAAAACTTCAGCCTTGGTTAAATGATAGAAATACCAAAGGACACATAATAAACAAATATTCCAGCAGCTGGTTTCCCTAGAATTTATTGATGTAGATTCTGCGTTTCTCTTGCAACTGAAACACTGAAAATAGCTGTGCACTCTGTATAAAAACTGCTAGTCAAGTAATTTGTCAATTAAAATTGTGAAAACTCAGAATTTTTGTTAACATTAGGAGTAACAGTAATCAATGTAAGTTAGTGTAATCATTTAAATGGATGTTTCATGACACAGATATACTCCTCACTGTCCCTTTTTAAAATAGTTAATTCCCATATCAACACTGTGAAGCATAAAAATTAAATATACAGTTCTCAATTTACATTACACAACTGAACATTATCTATAGGGTGTTAAGAAACTTATTTTATTCTTATATTTTTTTTAGTTGTGAATTTCGAGTGGAAAAATGAATGTCATAATTTCTGAGTAAACATCTTGCCTTGACTAGAAATAGAGGTCTTTAATGAAAAAGTCGAAGAACTTAACAGAGACAATGGTGTCTTAATGTGCGATTACAAAGTGTCAATTTAATGACTAACAGATTTTTAATCATTTTTTTTAATCATTTGAGTTTTATGTAATAAAATAAAACAGAACATCTGTAACTGCTTAACTTGGATTTGAGATCTGAGTTGGCATATTTTATTCTTATTACTTTATGCATATGTATTTCAAACTAGATTAACAGTTAGAACTAAACTAAGTAAAAATAGATTACTACAATGCTAGAAATTTTTTTTATACCTCTAATCAACACAAACAATGAGGATATTGAGTAATTGCATGTGATCTCATTGAAATGTATCCACACTGAAAACCAAACATTTACACATCTACTTCTTGACTTGAAAATGACTTGAGTACACCCAATACAATGGGTACATCTGGGAAGTGAGTTAGTACTAAAGTATAGCAAAAGAAGAGTCAACCATTGAGGTTCTGCTGTGCATCAGTCAGTACAAAAAAAAAATAAAATGTTATGTCAGTTACAACTCTCAAGCTAATTGAATTTATGTAAAAAAGTTTAACTAACTGGACAGCAGAATAATTTCTATCTTTTCTCTTATGTAACACCAGATAATTAACCATCATTAAAAAAAATATTGTAAAATTAAAAGAAGTTGAGTGAAAAATCTGGCCAGCAGAAAGTGAAGAAAATAAAGTTAAGACAACTAAAGGGGGACAAGTTTTAAATCAGTGATTTATTTGACCCCCTTCTTCCAGGAAGGTTAAAACAAAACCACACAGACAGATCTTAGGGCGACATGCAGAAAACTTTGCCAAGAAAAAGAAACCTGCCACACAAAAAAATATTTTATTTTTACTGTACAAACAAAATAAATATAAGTTATGCATCTATATACAAACAAAAAGTTATTGCTGAGTGGACAACTTGGCCAAAATCTAGTTTATAAATCTCACAAAATGATCAAAAATTTACCTGGCCAACCAGTCAATTAAAAATGTTACCAGGATATCACAGAATTTAAATGATACAAAATATAGAAAAATAAAATCTGAAATGTTCAGACTGATTGAATTACAGCCACTCTATTTCATATTTTTCTTTTTTTTTCTTCATGATAATTGTTAGCAATACATATTTAAGTCACAAAGAGTAGCCTTTAACCCTCAAATCAAAACTAAAAAATGTAAAATATCTTTATATGTTTAATCTATTCCTACACATATCTCTAGTATGTTGAATCAAGCAAATCAAGCTCAATGTGACAATATGAAAATGAATATACAAATACAAAGCATTAAAAAAAAACCAACCAAACGTTAAAGGAAGTGGTCCATGCAGAAAAGATATTAAAAAAAAAGTAATGTTTTATATCTAAACATCAATAATGTTTTTAATCAATATCAATCAAGGTTAAGATCAGAAACTTAACAAATGTAAGTTAAAATTAAAAAGGCTGATAATATAAAAAATGCACAATATTTACTATAAAAAAAGGACATTCATAAACAATTGTGCAACAAGCTGTTTGCAGGCAGAAGAGAGTATTAAATGAACCTTTTCCTGACAATAATTTAACTACTTTAGCTAGCCACATCAACTTCATATATTTTTTACAAACTGCCCAAATCTAACACATTTAGATAGGAACACTTCCAAAATGCACATACTTTTAACCAAGTATACACAACTCTGGTGTAAGCAAAACAATTCTTGCACACTTATATATTTAACATTCAAAACATGTTCAAGTAATTATATGTATGTATATCTATATATATATACTGTAACCTATTTACAACATGCCAGTGCTGATATTAACTGCCACAACTTAGATAATCTTATTCAAAACCGTAAACCTTTGTTTAGCTAAAATAATATATTGTTTACTTGCCAAACACATACCAAACATTCAAATGCTATGTACAGAAAGTCTGAATTTATGGATATGATACAATACTAAGCCAACTACAGCACTGCATGGTTTAGTCTCAGATAGTGCAAATAAGAAACCTTGAACTTTAGTTCAGAGGTGAAGCTGTTGATTGGTCTGTTTCACCTCGGCATGGAAACTCTACCACAGAGAAAATTTGAACTGGCTTTTCCAGACAGGTATCTTTGGTAAAAGATAACAGCATGGAATGAGTAATTTTGTCTCAGGTTTAAACAGGCTTTACTAGATTTTTAAACAAGCATCAATCAATGAAGAATTTTCATCAAACTAAATAGCTATCTCACTAGCAATTTGAAGTTTTAAAATAAATTAATCTTCTGCTTAATCTGTTTCCTACAAATAGGGCAAATTTTTAAAGACTCGGCACAAGTGCCACATGTGGCATGACCACACTGGAACACGCGGTTTCGCTGGCGTTCCATGCAGATGGGGCAGTTGATTGTGTCTTCCAGCTCCTGCAGCCTCTTCTTCAGCAAAGCTTCTTCAGAAGGAGAAGCAAACTCTGAGGGGTTGACAACTTGGCCATCTGTAAACATTGATATGAACATCATGCACTATTATCAGTAACACAGTCTGGAAACAGTTATTCACATCAGTCATTCAAGCATGACTTAATTTGTTAAACAGAAAATCTGAACTTAGGTAGGCTACCTCGTGTTCTGAATTTTGGAGTGAATAGCCCAGTAACTTCAAAGTGGACATTAATAATCAAGAAACATTTTCAGTATCATTAAATTTTAATAATTATACTACATATTTGATTTAGGCCCTATATGTTGTTAATATTTTTGGAAAACATCTGGTAATGAAATTTAATTGAAAACACACAATAGCTAGTAGGTAATGAAGCTGTTTAATTGTATAAACTATATCTATACGAAAAGAACAGCTGTCCCTATAGTAATAAAAAAAGGGAATGGTGGGTCATGAATGAATAATGATCAATTGAAATTAGTCCAAAAAATATGACATCTGGTTAAAATAAAATGTCTGTTGGTATGTAAACAAAACTTTAGCCCTAAAAATACTCTTTAAGTTTTTATACATTAACAAATTTTATAACAATGAATTTTTATCAGCTGTGCTTTTTTTTTTTGGTTAAAAATTTAAGTCTTCTCAGAGATTGAATACAAAAAGCAACATTTTTTGGCCTATGTCAACAATAATGGTCTGGTCCATCTCAGCTAAGTAGGTCAAAGCCAAAGAATTCAAAGAGATTTGGTGAATGGTTTTTAAGAACCTAAATCTTTGTGCGAATTTTATTGAAAAAATAATAAGAATTTTCAATAAGAACTGAACTCTTTCTATACAGCAAGCTTAACATTATTTCTATACTTGTTACTTACAGCGATGATTGGCTAAGACTATAAGAAATCAAGAACTAAATTTTCCACCGTATTTAGAGCGCTTATAAAAATGCTTATAAAAATGTAAATTCGACCATACAATCAGAAATGTAGTGTAGATCCATTTAACTGGTCTTATAGTGTTTAGTATTTATAATAAAAGAAAAAAATGTGTCTACACACCTTGTGTTCTCTTCTGATCAATAATCTCCTTACACTCAATGCATTTCTTCATCTTGACGCAGCAGTCAATACAAGCCACATTGTGGCCACAGGGGACAAAGGTGACCAGGGCAGTGATGTTACAACACACCTCACACTCCCTCTTCACCTGCTTGCTGTTATTCTGTTTGATGGTGCTGGCAACATAGAACATTACACTCAGTCACAACAAACACTTTGCTTGTACATACAAAGATATTTATCAATACAGTATTAACATCTTTTCTTGTCATAGGAGAAATGCAACAATATTAGTAGTAAACATTCCTCTTTAGACCTAACGATAAATTGGGCAGATGAAGTGGAGTTCATGTTTCTTGACCTTGACATATAAAGGGATAATGTGGTAACCACTATGCCTAGCTGCCTTAACTTTTGCTAACGCGAGTTAGGTACCGATCAGAGTTGGGTGGACTCAGGGATGTTCCACTAACTTGAACCCGAATTCAAAACTATCGGGTTAGCAGTCTAGCACTCCACCGCTAGGCCACACTGTCCCATAATATTAGTATTGCAATACAACAAATAACATTTTTGTAATGAAATGTGTTAAGTTTGTAAAAAAAATTTTTAAGTCACCAACTCAATTATTTAAAACAGTATGTAACAGGCAAACAGAAAATGAACCAGGTAGTGGAATAAAATAAATGTCATAATTACAAGGCTGTTGCAAACTGCTTGATCACATCTTCTATTTTAGGATCAGCAATGATCTCCAATGGTGTTTTTCCTTGATGATTTTTCTTTTGCAGATTTGCACCTTGCTGGGCTAAGTAGCAGGCGATGGCTGCACCTGTCTGCTCTTCTTTATCCCCCATTCCTAGATGGCTACGGATCTGCAAGGAAAATAATATTAAACTGAAAACAGTTTAAATGGTGTTTTTATTTCAGGTGTGTTGAAATGTTTTTCAAGATAAAACTCAAGATAGAGTGTAAAGGTAATAAGGTAATGGAGAACAAAAAATGTTAACATAGGATGTAAAGCTGATTTAAACAACACATCAGTATGGCACACAGAAAGCTATTTATAAAAAAAAATTTCAATCATAAAACTATCTTTTTTTTATCTTAATAATGCCTTTACTTATTTTTAAAGAATATTCTTCACATGCTTATTTCATACAAGTGAATCAAAATCATAAAATTACAGAGAAAATCATGCAAATTCGCAGCTCTTAGTGTAGGATGTAACAGATAATTCGATAACCCCAGCATGTAAGGCCATATAGAGAAAAAAAAACAACACTTACAGATGTTAAAGCTGGTGAACTGTCCTTCTCTGTGGCAACTGTTTGTCTCATCAAGGCCAAGTGTAGACAGGTATCACCATCTTCATCAGATACATTGGTATCAGCACCTTTGGTCACAAGCAGTTCAATGATTGACATGTGACCTTGTGACACAGCCAATAGGAGAGGAGTTTGTTGCCGGTTGTTACGAATCTCAATATCAGCACCAAACTAAAGAAGAGAAATGGCAACATGATTGGAGCGTACCATTCTATAATATAATATGGATATTAGGGACAACATTTTTCTTGAAAATAAACAGCTCAGTTTTTAAGACAGACAATTTTTATAAGTAAGGCATTGTTAGTAGGGATGCCATGAAATTCTTTTATTGGGTTTTACCAATAGAGCAACATGCATTTACTGTTGTCTTTTGTTGAAGTATATGCATGACGAAATGAAAATACCTGTAGAAGAGTAGTTGCAACATCTCTATGTCCATTTAATGCAGCCAGATGGAGGGATGAGAAGCCATCATCTTTTTTAATATCTACAATCTGGGGGCATCTTTGAAGAATTTTTTCTGTTGCGCTAAAAAGTAAAATTATTCTTATAAAAATAAGTACGTAAAGTTTGAAGTTTTCTTCGCCTAATGAGGGATGGTGGAGTTAAGCACATAACTGTTAACACTACAGTTCCAAGGTTCAAGTCTGCAGGAAATCCTGATTGGTGCCTGGCTTAGTTGGAAATAGATGGCTAGCCATAGTACTGGACACACAATCTTTTCTAATGTTGAGATAAAAGAAACAGACTTTCTTACACAATTCTAGCCTTCTAAACTCACTATATGGTCAATTTATAATTCTAATAAGTAAGCTGCCAGTATAAATACTTAAAACAATCAAATAGTTAACATTTTTTAGCCTACATACCATTTTTTGTCAGTTAAAGAAAACTAAAACTGTTTGATTTATTTATTTGGCCCCTATTCAGGTAATATATATTTTCTATAATGATAATTTACCCTCATATAAAAGAAAAAAATCAAATAAAACTTACAAAACATTTCCTTTCAAGGCTGCATGATGCAGTACATTAAACCCTCTCTTGTTTTTCAATGTAAAGTCAATGTTTTGATAGGAGACCAGCTGTTCAATTATATTGTGATTCTCTTTACCAATAGCATCGTGTAAAGCTGTGTCCCCATAAGCATCCTGTTGTAATAAGGTAAACTTGGCTTAGACAGGGTTATTTAATTAGGTACATTCTAGCTTGTGTTCAGTGTTGTTAATGACTGAATACACTGAATACAACAAGGGGTTGTTAAAAATTTAGAGATGTGCATTCCATTGTTATAAAAATGGTAATGTGAATTCTTTTAAGAACATAATAAATTCATGTTTTAAAGATTAAAAAATGCAATAACAAAATTAAAAACGACAGATTCTTAAATATAAAAGAAAGCTTTGGTATTAAATAGAAAAAGTAGAGGGAAAAACAAAAACTATGGTGGTAATCATGTGTGGGTGCTCACAGACTAGATTAAGAGATGGGGTAATCTGTGTGTAACAATTAAACCCAACAAACAGACTATTGAGAGAGAAGGTGACGTTACCTGTATGTTAACATTACACCTCCAACTCAACAATGCCCTAACACACTCCTGATGTTGTTTGTTGACAGCTACATGGAGAGTGCTACAGCCACCATTGTTCAGGGAATCAACAACAGCTCCTTTAGACAATAACTGTTGCATAACCTCAGGTTGGTTGCTAACAAAAAATTTAATAATTTTTTAATTACTTTTTGCATACAATTCTAATGTATACAAACTAAAGAGATTCTTAATAGTAAAGATATTGATCAGCTAAAGGTGAATGCTATTGATCAAATGAATGTGACTTATTACACTGACTGGTCAACTAAATACAATTATTATAACAGGATTAATCTGCTGAACAGAACTGTGACAGCAGGACTGGTCAACTAAATGGGATGATGTTAATACAGAGCTGGGTACAAACACTGTCCACTCATCATTGTAACAAAAAATGTATTTTAGCTCGCAGAAAATGGATTTTTCAAAAAAAAAAAAACAATTTTCCCTCAATGACTCACCCAAAAGCTGAATAGTGCAAAGCAGTGTCCCCATCTTCATCCTTTGCCTCCAGACTTGCCCTGGATGACAGTAGCAGGGCTACAATATCTTTGTGTCCTTGATGACTTGCTACCTGTAGTGCTGTTTTACCAGAGCTCTGTTGGTCCACCTAGAAAGGTTAAATTTATAATTAACTTTCACATTATCTTAAATTAAACCTGGGCTAGAGAAGTAGTTTACATTTAAGATAAGTTAAGCTTATGTAATCACACAATCTGATGAGGAAGTAAATGCTACATACTTTATCAGGATACTTTAAGAGAATATCCCTGACAACCTCAATGTGTCCCTGGGCAGCTTCTCTCACAAGTCTGTCTGGGCCTGTTTCTTGGCCTTGAGAAGACCGCAGCTCTGCCAATTGTTCCAGAATAGAAGTGAAGGCAGCTGAAGAGTTAAAAGAATAAATGGTTACAAATAATAAAACTGACAAATATTTTGTTACAAAATGAAAGTATAGTAAATGGTTATTAAAATGAGAATTAACAAAAAATGAAGTAAAGTTAGGAGCAATTGGTCATAAAAATGAAAGTTTGTAAAAAAAATCAGTATAATAAAGTGTCTTGAACTAAAAATAAAAAAAAAAGAACAATAATAAAGCATAAACTTGATATTAAAATGGTTTTTAACTATTTTACAAAACACCAAAAACAAAATTTCACTTAGACAACACGAAAGAACCAAATAAAAAGAGAGAAACATACGCATAGCTGCCCTCTGGTCATGTGTAGAGCCCAGTGTGTTATTCATATCTTCAGCACCATGAGGCACCAGGGTGCAGCATAGGGGGTTGAATGTCCACTCCTGATTAGCCACCACCACACGCAAATCTCCATCAGAGTAGACTTTTTTAACTACACCAACTTTACCAAGTGTCTGTGATACAAAAAAGTATTGAAAATGTTAACATGAGGGGTAGATGAGTGACACAAAGAAAATATAGGGGTTTAGCTCTGCATTAATCACTCACCTCATTTAATAAAAGCAGTTTTCACAAGAAATTGCAACAATAATAATTTTGAAGTAAAAATTTAAAGAATCTTAATGGAATTTTTAAAAATGCGTTTCAAAATAATAAATGTTTCAGCTAATTGCTGTAAGATGGTGCTACTTACATTTTTCATGACATCTGTCCACTCTCCATGACCAGCTTGCCACTCTTTGACTTGCTGTAGGTTGTCAGAGATTTTGACAAAGTCCTCAGTGTGGAAAACGTGGACCTAAATAACAAAAAAAAAAAAAGATTCTTACTTGAGGAAAGTATTAAGTTGTAATTTTATAAATAATGTTTGTTGTCTCATAGTTTATCAACAACAAAAAGCAAATAGACTGACTTTTTTAAAATTACAAAATGAAAAGATGAGGCTTTTTAGCATTTTTAAAAATTCATTTCTAGTTATAAGATCTAATTGTCACGTTTGTGCCTTGAGGTAATTTAGGTTAATTGATTTACTACAAATAGGACTGCTTTATTTAATGTTATTCAGATTACATTGCAGTTCACATTGACAAGCAGAAGTTGTTTTCTTGATTTATCGTTTTTTAATGTTTTATTTTAATGTTCTTATAATTTTTGACACATCAAGACATACCTTAGTAAGTGCATCAGTGTGGAAGGTCCACCTGTTAGCACAGCCTTCATACTGAACTCTCACATCACCTCTGTCCGTGATTCTGTGAACTGTCCCCACTTTGTTGATGTACTAAAAATAATATATGACCTCATGTTTATACAGAATACCCTCAATGCATGGAACAGTTTTTGTCAAACAAAATACATGAATACAAGCAGCTGATCAAATCAACAAACCTCAGCCATCCTAGGGTTCCAGCCTCCATGACCTTCCTGCATCTGCTTGAGTATCTCCACATCCAAGTCACATCGCACTTTATCCCCAACTTTAAACTGACTAGGTGTTCCTGGGCCATCCGTTTCAACGAATTCTCCTTTTGGAAAAAATAAAAATATTGTTTCTCATTAGTGAAATATATTTATTGAAATATTGATCATGTTAGGGAAAGTAAAGCCGGCTGGGCATAGTGCTGACCACAATATCCAGTTCATATACCAAGGTCAATAAAACAGGTGAACTCTACTCCACTTGCCATATGGACTGTAAAGTTTTAAAGGGTACTACACTTTCTATTGATTAATTAAAAACAAACAGACTCTTCTAAGAATTCTTTCAACAATCTAGTATTGTAATCACATTTTCTCTACAAGTCCTATCAGTATTCATTAAATTATCAAATAAGTGGAATCTCAATCAAACTTTTAAATATCTGCATGTACAAATGTACATACATATTAGGTTTAATTAGACTTTGGACATGATAAAAAATTTCAACTCACCAAGCACAGGTAAATGATCTCTGTAATAATGTCCTCCAGTTGTAGCATGAGTATACTTCAGGTCAACCTTGCCTTTGTGTCCCATACGATATACATTGGTGGAGCCTGATGACCATGTGACGTGGGCCACACTCCGACCAGACTCAGTGTCCCAGCCACGAATGTCTGTTACTTTTCCAACCTTACCTTCCCCACCTGTAAAAATGTTGTTAAATCTTTAACACTTATAATATCCAAATTTTAGCCTATTCTGAATAAAATCATTGTAGTGCAAAATCAAATATATGTTACTATCACACTAATACGATTCTAAACACAAGGTGAGGTGAACTTGGATTGTCTGTAACTAATTGTACAAATTCAAATTCTATGACTAAAAAACAATAATTTTAAAGAAAATTCATTGAAATGATAATCTAAAAGTATTAGAAGTGTATAAAAATGGTAGAAATTTTTTTTAAGCACTTACCATCTTGATTTCCCCAATCCCAATCTGGTCCACGTGCAACTCTTGCACCTGAATATATCCCAAAAGCTGGAACTTTTTGATTTTGGCTCATGCAGCGTTTTGGAACCTTGATGCTATAGAAGTTAAGAGAATACAAATTCTTAAAAACTTGGGAAATTTACTGCATCATATTGCTACAAATGTATCAAACTCATAGATAGGTAATGTTGAAGTGCAAATCTTACCCTTTTGATGAAGCATTGTCAAATCTCAAAAATGCATGTTGTAAATCATGTTTATCATTCATGTAACAGAGCATACACAAGTCAAAGTCATGGCATTTTGTACACTTCCACCTCATACCCTGAACACCTTGTGTTCGGCAGTTATCACAGATAATATTGGTATGTTTCACACCTAAAAAAAAATAAGTTAATAATCCACAACCTTAAATTTAATATCTATTATTATAACATTAATTCCTTTCCATTACAACTTTATTTTTGTGTAATTATCTCTATCTAATTTATATTAAGTCTTGATTGGAGTTTTTATATTTAACATAAAAATAAAGATAATATCTTGAATGTATACTGACCACAGGGTGCATTATCATAAACACGCAGATCATAGGCTCCTTGATATCCTACTCTATAGTTTGTTCTAGCGCCAGAATCCCACTGAACAACAACTGTTTTATCTGGTGAGGTCTGGCTACCAGGTTTGCCAATTTCAACGACTGTTCCAACATGTCCCTCTCCATTGTCTTGGTTTCCCCATTTCCAGTCAGGTCCTCTGACCACCCTCACCCCAAGCTCTACAGACATGCCACAAATCTGTAGTGATAACAAAATTAGATATTTTAACCCAGACTAGACAGAATCATTATTCACAATTCATGATGGGAAAAAACCCATCAAATGTACTGCTTAGTAAATTTTTGCAACAAATTGAACCTATTGTTGAGATACTAATTGACAGGAAACGGCATGGTCAGATGCTAGAGTATAAGCCTGATAACCAGAAAGTCTAGAGTTTGGATCAGGGGCTCAAGTCACTAGTTTTGATAGGTATCTGAGTCAGGGTAAGTAACGGATGCTGATGTAAAGTTCAGTGATACAATTGACGATCAGTTTCAAAAGTATACCTTTTTTTAAAAATACATTGATGCTACTTATTTAGCAGAGCTACAGAAATCTTTTACTTTAATTTCTTCTTCTTCTTTGTTTTTAATTCTAGTATTGGAAGGGATTTCCTACAACAGAATTTAGTATTATGTGTCAACTGGTTATGGACCATATAGGCCGTTAACTCAGATTTCAGCCTGTTTTTCTTTTTGGATTTGATTCCATAGCGTCTGTCCAACCAAGAACAAAATACAGGGCAGCAGCTGTTTGGTTTTGGTGTTGTTGATCTAGGAATCTATAACTTGCTAATGTCAATTCAAAATAACAATTATCCTTAACCTAGAATCTAAATTTTTTTTTTTTTTTAAAGTTGATCTAAATTCTAAAAAAGGAATTTCAAAATCAATCAGCCCCCCCAGGCCTAAAATTAAAATCTAGCATCAATTCCCAGTTCCAAAATTAGAACTGATCTCTATTTTAAAAAAAAGAAACAACAACGGTGGTGTTACTATGGGGTTTAGATCTAACTAGATTCTAGTTACGAGTAGAAAGATGAGTAAATCACTCACTGAGACCTGAGAGAAAATTAGCTCTCTCCTCAGTGAAGTAGATCTAGCTGAGCTGAGTTTGTCGTGAAGTTTAACAGACCTAAATTAGTTCTCTATAACAACAAATATGGCTCCTTCAATTTCATTAACTAATTGTTTATTAAAAATTCTTTTCAAAAAAAGACATTTTAAAATCCCAAAATACTCTATGTGATTAAGTCTAAACTTAAATTACTGTTATTATTATAATAATAATATCAATCTCTATTTGTGCAGACGGCCATGTTTCTTAGTAAATTGCCAGATTTTTTGTGAGTATGGTCTTTAATCAAGGATAAACACAACAACAATGTTAATACATTTTTCATTAAGCGTTATTGCTGTATTAATCTAACTCTGTTTGTAAAAGAGAATAATAATGTATAAGATATATAAAGTGTGGAAGCTCTAAACAGTTATAAGGAAGAGAAATCGAAATCACAGTGAAATTCTGCTGTCGCATATTTGTGTAAGACAAACAGCACAGCCATTTTGTTTGTATATTTTCGACAACCCCTTTAGGCCTAGTCACTGCCTATCACTATCCATATTAAATTTCAGCCAGATAACAATTAATATAGACCTAGATCTAGTGTAGAGAAAGATTTAAATAAAACAAAATTACCCTTTATTTTTATTTTTTTTATATAAGCCTATAAAACAATGCTACTATATCGAGTAGGCCTATAGGCGCACCTTACTATGCAAACTTTTTTTACAAACTTTCATTCTAATGGGCGGCCTGAAACTTGCTAACGGCATTTTAACAACTTCTCCCTAAATTTTTTTTCAAATTTGACACGCAGGTCAAGACCCAATGAAAATACAATAGCATTTCATATAATTACATTTGCAATTAATTAAAAAAATATATATTTAAAAATTGCAATGTGAAGTGCCAATATTTAGGCGCTATTACACTCACTCGGTGCGTTTATTAAGTGTGCACGTGTTTTTAGTTTCCCGATTTTATTTTATCAAAATAAAAAATAAATTAAAAAAGTGTTATATAACCGCATTCCGCAAGCTATATAAATGAACTACAGAGAGCATAAAATGATTATCTATAATACTATATATAGTAATGCAATACTACTTATATGAATCAAAATTTAGTAAGAAAAATGTTCGTAGTTCATAAAACTTTACCAGCCTATTCAATACTCAAAGTATCGACCCACGCTTTTCTTTCTAGTTATATGAATAATGGTGCTTTATTAGGCTTTTTATTATAACAAAAATTAAATAAAGTAGTTTTACACTTGTTACATCTTTATTTATTGATCAATTAGTCAATGTACAAGTTATAACTTAAAGAGGAGTAAGCTGAATACGAACCATGAGTCAAAGGTAAGTGGTCTCTGGCCTAGTCATTTTAGGTTGAGGTCTAACGTTCTACTTATGAAAAGTTTGAAGTTCCAAAAAGTCTAACTAAAACGTTGATTGTCAGATGCCACAACAAAGCACTGGTTTTGTTCACGTTAGCTACTGATGCCTATTTGTGGAAACTCTGCAAAAAGTTCTATCCGGAGTTTGGGAAGAAAATTCTAGTTTTATCCCAAGTTGTCTCTGCCAAAAATTTAGGGGTCAAAATATAAATATTTGTTTAAAAATTCCAACAAGCTTCAAATCACAATTATAATTTAAAAAAAAAATATATATTTAAAAAAAAAAAATCAAGGGAAATAAGTTTTAAATTAGATGTCACCAGACTAAAGCTAGGGTAGTTTCCCTTAGCTCGTATCCATCCTTTCCTCCATTATTTGTTACCAACATATTTCTTGTGAATTAACAATTCTTTTGAAATGATGCACGTGCATAGATGAATCAATTTAAGTAAATGTAATGCTTACGTTTTCAAACTAGCTAATTATTGAAGCTGATCAAGGCGGATTTAACATGTTAATTTTATCACTTGGTCAAATAATCTGTTTAAAAATTAATGCTTACCACGAAACTAAGATGGAATGGGCATGTCACACAAGTCAATGGCCTACCCTAAACATTGCAGGGCATGGTGTTAGGAAGGAGAAGAAGGGGAAGGCAAAGACGACATTGGATGGAGGACAACTAGGAGTGGACTTCGCTGCCCATTGCAGAACTACTTGAAGCTTAAGAGGACCGAGAGGGCTGGCAGAGAATGATAGGATAATCAGCTGTGGTGCCCCAACGACCAAATAAGGGTTGAGGTATCATTGATTGATTGGCTGATTAATTGCTTACCATCAAATATGATTTATAAAGCCTTAAGTGAATGTTTAGGCAACACATTTTAATTTATTTTTCGCTAACTATATCAACAATTACATAGTGTTTACCTGGGCATGTTAGCCCATAAGCAGGTTGAGATTATACTGGCTTTAATGTTTCGAGAAATTCCCTCGATAGGGAATATTGTAATTTTGTCAAGAAAATAAATAAATGAATGAGACATTTTGACAAATTTCGACGTTTTACACCATTTTGAATCGGAGAAAAAAAAACAGTTTTGTATGTCTGTGTGTGTGTGTGTTTGTTTGTTTGTGTGTTAACACACTCACTTGTGTACCGTTTCAGTTTGTTTGACGAAATTTCATGATTAAATAATGAATTGTATACGCATATTTCTATCAACTTTTAAAGCGATTTCAGATAACCGGAAATCTCGAAGAAAATATATTAAGTTTTCATGAACTTACAAAAAGTAAAAAATAATGGGACAACCAGTATTTAAAACCAGAAATCCCCCAATGTTATAAGATACCTAAGTATAGTTTCTTGTTTATGAAATTTCGTCTAACTAAAGCAGAACCGAAGACATCACATTGAAAAGTGAAGGAAATGGAAAGCATATGATATTAATTAAAGCATGATACGATACAAAGGCGTAGCCAGGAATTGGTCATGGGAGGGGTTCAAAAATGTTTCCCGATGTATACAATATATATATATTGTATATATATATATATATATATATATATATATATATATATATATATATATATATATATATATATATATATATATATATATATAAAGTATATGTAGGCTATATTTTATAGGGATGGGGGGTCCATGGGAGGGGTCATAACCCCCCCCCTACCCCCCCCCCCCTTGCCTACGCCACTGATACGATATAACTTGTTGACCACTTTTTAAAAAAAAACTTAATAGGCCTATATGTATGTGAAAACTGAAGTATTAAGTATTTTTTGTCTAGATAAAAAATTCAGTATGTGTCTGTTTTTATTTCTTTACACATTTCGATCCAAGTTTTTAGAAAAAAAATTTACTGTTGGAAAAACCGGGTGCGTGTGTGTCACGTGATACTAACGCCTTTGTCACAAAAGTTGACCTTAACTTAGATCAAAGAAACAATTTCAAAGTAACAAAGATGACAAGTTTAAAGTATCGGGTTTCAACAGGGAGAGAGTGGCTGAGAATGGAAAGGGGGTGGGGGATTTTCCTGGGCATCTAATAAGGTTGAGCGAAAATTATGTCCCACTGTTGTTTGATACGACCTAGAAAATTGACGGTCAATGGGGCAAGTAAAGAAGGGTTCACACATTTCAGCGACCTTGGCCCATGAACGGACATATGATTAGCTATACGTACTTTCCCAAATTAGTCCAGGTACCATTAATAGCTGGGTGAACTCGTACACATTCTACGGACCCGAACCCTGAATCCCAACTAGAGACCTAGTTATAAAACAGTAATTCAAATTAGTGAGCTTATCTTCTATTTTCTATGAACTAAACATATTTTGTAATAAATTGCGCTGCAATGTGCCAAGCAACGAAACCTGATAAAATTTTAGGCCCAGCTAAACTATAGCTATAACATCAATACAGCTTTATTTTATTTGTTGAAGTAATACGTCTATTAAATTAGCCAACAGAGACAATGTCCATAAACTTGGTATGGATGTTTATGCTACTTTACTTAAAGGGAGAAGATTGGCTTGTACTTGTTGTATACCCAACAGTGGGTAGGGATGGTGTATCATTTTGTTATATTGTTATATTGTACAATGGGGTAGGTAAAATGCCATGTTTTGTTGTGTATATTATGTGTACAATGGGATAGGTAAAATGCCATATTTTGGTGTGAATATTAATAATATTATATGTGCGATGGGGTAAGTAAAATGCCATATTTTGTTGCACATATTAAGTACACGATCCCTTGTTCAAAGAGCCACCCAAGATTTTGGAGCCAAGGGCTGTAAAACTTTTGCTATAACCATAATCTTTACTCTTCAATCAATATTACTTCATGTATCCCTACGCTAGTCCGCCAGGAATAGTTGGTGGCTTGCTAGTTAACTGGTACGCCTTAGTGGAACAGTGCAAAGAATTAATGACGAGTATGAAGGGTATCTAAAGGCCCATATGCCAGGTGAAGTAGAGTCTATCTGTTTCGTTGATTAAGATGAAGGGGTTATGTGGTCAGTACCAGTGGCGTTACTAGGTCGTGTGTCACTTGGTGCGGTGACTGGGAGGGGGGGGGGGGTCGCCATTCGAGGCTATTCTCGTTTAGAGCAGTTTGGCTCACCTAACTTAAACAGTACTCAAGTTATTGTGTTAACACACACATACACGCACACGCACGAACAAGGCACATCCACACACAAACACAGAGACAGACACACATTCAGATAAGATGGCTAAACTGTGTTTTTCCTACTCAGAAAGGATTAACACGTCCAGATTAAAAAAAAACAAAAAAACTAGTTTTTCTTTTGTACTCTCGTATACGAGAAAGTAAAACGATGCATGCTCAAGCTTAACTGGGAAAACAAAACAGAATAAAACGCACTGAGAATTAATTAAGAGAAAAACTATCTCAGATTAAAATAAATATTCATCAAATATTTAAATAATATTAACCGCGCCCATCTTCATTAATATCAGTAATCGATATTAAAAACCCATCTGCCGACTTGGCCAGATTTAAAACAGACTATATCAATGGCCAGCTAAGCCTTTGATGGCCAAATTATTTTCATTAGGACATTTAAAAACATTCATTGCTTTTTTATCATTACCATTATTATCATCAACCCGCGAAGAATAAAAAAATCTCTTTCTTTTCGATGTTGTTTATCTTTTCATTGATTTCGACCCAATCACAAGCCATATTTTTCTTTATCATCTTCAATAAAATAAAATCGATCCTCATAAATGACTGGCTTTAACCTGGAATTTCACGATCGGTGCCTGCGCCAATCACACAACAAAGCCCGCGAACGGCTGA